TGTACTGATATTACCATAAAAACTATCAGGTCTGTGCAGTGTCATATGACATCTATGTACCAAGTTTCATTGAAATGTGATGATTAGTACTTGAGATATCAGTGGAAAAACCGAAAATTGACTAATCATTATGCAAATTAGGTAATTAGTGTCCACGGATTATTACCAAAAACTAATCAAAACCTAGCATTAGTTCAGAAAATCTATGTACCAAGTTTCATCAAAATCCAATGAGTGGTTGTTTAGATATCAGTGGAACAGTCATGGAACCACTAAAAAATAGCTAATTATCATGCAAATTAGGTAATTAATATGCACGGATTTTTACCAAAAACTAATCAAATCTGCGCCTATGTTCAGAGCATCTATGTACCAAGTTTCATCAAAATCCAATGAGTGATTCTTTAGATATCAGTGGAACAGTCATAGAACAGCTAAAAATTAGCTAATTATCATGCAAATTAGGTAATTAACGAGCATGGATTTTAACCAAAACCTAATCAAAACCTAGCATTAGTTCAGAGCATCTATGTACCAAGTTTCATCAAAATCCAATGAGTGGTTCTTTAGATATCAGTGGAACAGTCATAGAACAGCTAAAAATTAGCTAATTATCATGCAAATTAGGTAATTAACGAGCATGGATTTTTACCAAAACCTAATCAAATCTGCGCATTGGCCCAGAGCATCTATGCACCAAGTTTCATCAAAAACCGATGTATGGTTCTTGAGATAGCAGTGGAACAGTCGGACACACATACACACATACACACACACACACACACACACACACACACACACACACACACACACACACACACACACACACACACACACATACAGACACACTAACAGCAAAGACTCCCATTTTGTGCTTCCCACATGGGAGTCAAAAATCATCTATTATTACAGTTAAACTTGAGCTTGGTAAGAAAATAACTTGACACATTTACCATTTTATATTTAACCAAAATTTTAAATATTAACATATTGCCTACTGATGTCATTTTATACCATTCATATCGACTATCTGTGGAGGATTCCAGCAGGTGATGTAACTGTTATCGCCATGTTGTAACCGCCATATTGTCCCGAACACCAAAACAGCAAATAGGTGATTTTCCGAACAATTGCGAGATCTCGCGAGATGCATGAAAGACGCGCGTTGAACGACTGCCGCAAAAATCGAACGATTTGATTTTGAACTAGAATTTCTTTATTTCGCAGCTTACATTGACCGGCCGATCTTCGACAGAGGAATATTGCTTCCGAATACCCTTACTTAATCGAAATTGCCTATCATCAAATGTGGACAGCACATTATTAAGCATGGAAATGTCCCCGAAATACTTTCGCGTTTGTCGAATCCCACGCGATGTTTGACGCGACTACGAAGCTATGACCTTTGTTTGTCCTGTTTTTATGTTCGATTTCACGCATAACGCGCGATTCTCGCAGTGAACGGAAAATGGTCTATTGATAGCTAAGTTTCTGTATGTGCATGCCTGGAAATCGGTACGTGACTAGAACCAACCTCAACAGGATATGTCAAACTAATAGTGGGGGACTCGGACATGTTGAATATAAATGGACGATCACAATTCGATTGCGTTTCTATTTATTTCATTCAATCGTATAAATTCCTATATAATAAATGGCAAAGTTATCCAAACAAAATGTATGTACTGACACAGTATGAAACGTCAGGACACAGTCGCTGGAGTGTCTGGTGCGTGTCACAACACTCATGAATGAGTGCATGTAGCCAAACGTCACACCCTTCGTAAACGTGGTTTGAATAACCAGTTCTAATCATTTTGAGACATGCTTAACAAACCATTCAGCAACTTAACAGAACAATATAGCAATGACAGTGATATTAACTACTGTACCTTCAGCTAGAGATGCAAATGCATTAAACAATCTTGCAGTATACTGTCTTACCACTTCTACATCTGAACCCAACAATCCTAAAACATTCGTCTGTAATAGCAAAACAAGTAGAAAGTATGTGAATAATATTTAAATATTTGATGAGATTAACAAGAACGGCACATAATTACAATTCTGGAAGCCACAACTCTCATGAGGAATGACATGAAGATAGAAGCCTATCAAACAGCAAAAATCTTTGTTACGCAGATGCCTGAAATACATTCCCACTTCCCACACCGACCCTTGTAAGCATCTTAAGGACTTGGGATTTTGTACAGTTTAGGAGAACTCTTATGCAACAGAAACCTGAAACCAAATTTAGAAGTACCTACTAAAAAAGGAAACCACGCAAACATCAAAATGCACAAATACAAATGGCCTTTAGTGATTAGAGGAAAGGGATGTTTGATTTGGAGGTGAGACACAACAACCTTGTTCAAGTATAGGCCAGCCCCAGTGCTCCAATATGACAGGAATTGTCATCAAACCAACTCATTTTATTTTTTCAAATGGATCACCATAATCAATGAGAGGTGTACATTCTGCATATAGTATCAATACAAAGATGGAATG